TCTTTGCAACATTAATGGAACAAAATTCACTCCATACCACTGCAATTATACTTTCTTTTCAGAAATATCGCCCTTTCTATTGGTGAAACTCTCCATTAATATAAAAAAATAAGTTTATGGTTTTAATGTAACCAAATAAGGAAAGAGTTTGAAGAGTGTGAATAATTTATCAGTGCACTGCAGTAGAAGTGAAACCTTTAATTCTCCTTTTGTAGTGCATGACGCCACCATACAGCCCACCTCCCTGTGAGGCCGCCCCTTCAGGCCCGGTGCTGAAACCGCTCCATTCTGCAGAGGACGAAGCTGTTTCCCAGAAGTACCAGTGCACCAGCGTGATCCGCCACACCGCGGATATCAGGGACTGCTCCTGTAACCCTTACCGACTCCAGCAGGAAGACGGGGCCTCAGATGATTCTAGAACAAACATCGACTGCTCGGGCAGAGACTCTGATAAGAATTCAGCCCAAGAGAAAACCTCCAAAGATGCATCACACCATTCTGAACCCAGCCAGATCCGGACGGATCGGTTCAAACCAGATGATGGATCAAATACTTCACTTCCAGCTGGAATCACGCTAGTGTCTCCTGTTCCCGTCTTCAGCCGGATTGTTCCTGTCTCCTCTGCATCCACTGCCACCCTGCAGAGCCATAACAGTTCTTCGCCTGCTCCTCCACCGATCAGACATGCCTCACAGGGACAGACCCTGCAGCAGTACTCACTGCCAGCCCCCCGGGTTCTGTTTGTAGAAGGTCAGGTGGTCAAAGGCCCCGTGGTGCTGCTTGTCCCCCAACCATCTGTTCCTGCCGTTTACCTTAAGCAAGCGCAGACGACCCCTGCTGGTCCGAGGTTTCTTCCCATCGCCCCGGCCCCTGGGCACGCCGCCTCAGAGCCGAGGCGCGCCCCCCTGCAACCAGAGGCCTCACGGGTGCGCAGTCATGTTTGTCCTCGTGAGGACTGTGGCAAGACCTACTTCAAGAGCTCCCATCTTAAGGCCCACATGAGGACACACACAGGTAAGAGGCAAACGGGTTGAAATCCACCTTTTTTTAGGGCGTTTGATCAGTCCTCTAAACAGAGAGTAAAATCTACATCATCTTTGTCCCCACAGGTGAGAAACCTTTCAAATGTAAATGGGACGGATGCGAGAGGCGATTCGCTCGCTCTGATGAGCTCTCTCGCCATCGCCGAACCCACACCGGTGAGAAGAGGTTCACCTGCCCCATGTGCCTCAGCCGCTTCATGCGCAGCGACCACCTGGCTAAGCACGCCCGGCGACACCTGGTGCCCAGGAAGAAACCCCTCTGGGCATTAGGGGTCCCCCCCACTGCAGAGCTCCTCCCTCTCCTAAAGACTCACTGAAAATCCAAAGACTGGAAGTAATCCATAAAACTGAGTGTTTGAAATTGTACAGGTATTTATTTTATAAGCTGAAGGTACGGGAAGATGCTGCGTGTACAGAAGATGGGATAAACTCTGATCCACCTCGAAATGAGCTACTTTACCTGCAGCTGTTTGTTTTTTTTTTTACTTTTTTTTTATTTGACCAAAGAATATTTTTTGTCTATTTCTGCTTCATAAAGATGTTATTTTAAATCATGTATGTTTTTCATTAATTGTTGGGCGATTAACACAGTTTAGAAATATGCATCTTTTATATTTATACAAAAAAAGGCATTTCTGCCCTCAGTTAACTCAATCAAAACATCCTTAATGAACTATTGATAAAAAAGGATTAAATAGCAAAATCAGTCATTTTTTTTCAAAAAAGAGAAAAAAAACATCACATTTTGTGTAAATTTTAGGGATGCAGATATGAAAATCTTTGCCGATGTTGATTACCTGATGTTTAATATTATTGGTATGACCAGTATCATATTTCCTTACTACGATGGAGTATTAGGGACAGGATAGAGATTTTTTTTTCAGGAATAAAGTGTTAATATTATAAGACTAAATTCATAAAATTAGGAGAACAAAGTCCTAACATCCACCCATTTTCCATCACGCTTCATCCCAGCTGGGATCGTGAGGGGTGCTGGTGCCTATCTTCAGCTGCCGGCGTGCAAGAGGCGAAGTTCACGCTGGACGTTCGCCAGTCCATCGCAGGGCAACACAGAGACACACACCTAAGGAGAATTTGGAGAAACCAATTAACCTAACAGTCATGTATTTGGACTGTGGGCAGCGGCGGTTTTAGATGAAGTTTATCAGAAGGGCCAGGGTGGGGCTTTTGTTTTTAATGGGGACACAGAACAAAAATAATGATGAAAACCTGGCTGTATCTTAATACGGCTGAAGTTTTAAGGTGACTGCATTTTTTAAAGTAAATCGTAAAGTTGAGTGATTAAATTAAATTGGTCCAAGTCACTTATCATCCATTACATGCTGCAAAAATTGTCCATCTCATCAGGGACTCGTATTTAGATTGATACACCAAACAAGAGAAGATTGCTTTTTGAGAGGATTCTACTTAAAATAAGTGCAATAAACTGCAAATGCAGTGAGGCAATTGCAATTGCACTTCTTGACATCATGATATTCTAATAAGAAAAGTATATAAATCTCAAAACAAGATGTAGGATTTGAGTGCAGTCCATTCGGTCAATGGATATAATCATGACTTATTTTGTATGACAGCAAAAAGTCATCTAAAATGTAAAAACTTCTTAAAATGAAGATGATTTTCAAATAATTTTGTATTTTTCCCCTCAAAATAAGATAATTACATATAAAATAAGATGGATTCTTGAAATAAGATGGATTTTTTTTTATTTATTTAAATAATCTTATTACATTGGCAAATTGTCTTACCTACCTGCTCAAATTGAGGCAAAATACACCCATTTTCAAGAAATTTGACTTTTATGTCACAGGATCAGTTCTCGAGGGGCGCCAGCCCCTTTTGGCCTTTGCCTAGAACCGCCTATGACTGTGGGAAGAAGCCAGAGAGAACCCACACATTCTCAGGGAGAACATACAAACTCCATGCAGAAAGACCACGGGCCGGGAACTGAACCCAGAACCTTCTCGCTACAAGGCAGCACTGCTACAAACTGCAACACTGAGCAGCCCACATCATAATATTTCGAGAATAAAGTTTTAAAAGTAAAGTTGTATTTTATGACAACTCTTAAATGAAGCACTTCCTTCCCTAAAATGAAGAATGTCGAACATCATGTAAAGTCAGTTGGCTCTGGTTTGACAAACCAGGAAATCTTTTAGCACCAGCATCAAATTGGGTAGAATGTCAAAGTAGACCCAAGTTCCCGTTTGGTGGAGCTGGTCGGCCGTCATCTGCTGGTTGGAACTCAAAGATTTAATACGACTTCATTCTCAAAATTAGAAAAAATTAAAAATATCTGGCCTGGCCCTAATAC